CTGGTAATAAACTTTCCCTGCCGCCTCACTGTAGTTTCATGCGTCTGTATTTTTGTCTCCTGTATCCTATCCTCAAGTTCGAGGGAGGCTTTTAGACCCTTTTAGCCACAGAAAGCTGGAAGTTTCTGTTTAGCAATTTATTTTTCTAGTCAAAACTTTGGTACTTCATGTAAAATTGTTATCCTTAAATATTGTGATTTAACTAGTCCTGGCTAGTGTGACGTGGTTATTCCCCTTAAATACATTAAAATCCCCTTCCTAATGACTCAGGAAGCACTCACACCACAGTGGTACTCTGATCTGGTTGGTACCAGTTGGAAACAATATAAATGAACATCTCTTCTTTTCTCTCCCTAGTCCCTTCTCTCCTTTCTTCTTCCTGTGTGTTTGTTTATAACTAAGAGCCTGATAGATATTACTGTTGCAGTTGTAACCAGCCTTTTCAAATCTGTAATAATAATGGTTAAGGAGAGAATTTATTTCAAAACATATACAATTAAATCGAGGTTTCTATAGTAGGCATTGTGAAAGAAATTAGGTCATGTGTGGTTTTATACAAAGTTTTGAACATTTAAAGTATAGTACGTGAGAAACAAAGCAGGCTCACAATATTTGTATTGTCATTTAACCCAATTAAGGAAAAGAATAAATATTTTGACTGCAACTTTTGTTTTGAATTCATGTAGTTCTAGAAAGGTAATATGGGCATACTTTTCTGCCTTAGAAAAATATGTGTCTGTTCACTTTTGCCTTTTATTTTTAAGGGGGTTAATGATATCATGTGAAAGGTCCAACTTATCCATTTCAAAGGAAATTTAAAAGTATCTGTGACATACCAAAGACAATGCAAAATGAGGTATTGTACATTAAGTATGAACTTGGATAGGAAACATCTGTACATTTATTGAGCAGGGGAAAAAAAGACTAGAAATCCTATTAAAAAAAAAAAGACTAGCAAATTGCATTTGCTCTCACAGGTGAACTCTGAGAATAAGTAGTAACTATCATGGGCTATAAAATGTAGCTTGCCCTTCTCATGTTAAACCTGAGCCTTGGCTAGGAATCAGATGTGTTTGTGTTTATATATTTAAGTAAATCAACTCTTTAACCTCTTTGGACACGTATTCTCTGTAGAATCAGATTTTCCTGAGGCCAAGGAATAGAAAGCAGACCCTGATTTAAGTAATACTAATTTAATTAATACAACCCTCTTAAGTTTTTAAAAATCATGCATTAAATCTTGCTTTCTAGGAAACATATGTGTCATACTTTAATTTTTTTTCTAGTCTAGGTACAAAGTAGGTACAACTTTTTAACCTTTTTTAAATTCCAGAGTCCAATAGTGTAAGTATTATGAAATATCTGTGCCAAAACCAAAATGGTAGAAATATAAAGCTTATTCTAGGTAGTCATTGAAAGATAGAATGTTCTTTTTTCATATACTGAGTTTTATTTTTTACAGGAAATTCATCATGTTTACATTGATTTAGCAGTGGATTCAGAATCAGTAGTATTGCACTTTCTTTGCCCATCTTTACCATATTTGTTCTCTTCTCTTAGAATAATTTTAAGGATTGACAGCACCTTAAATAATTTTTTTCTATAAACACTCAGGGTTCTGTATGTCAGTGTGAGGTAGTGTATTCTATTTATTATTTCCTACACTTTAGAAGTAAAACTGAGTAACTGTTTTGCTTTACTCCTAAATTCTCACTATAATTTATTTTTGCAACTTGAACGTGAAACTTGAAGTGAGGGTGTTGGGGAAGGACAAGTTCTCCTCTACCCTTTCTAGGTTCTTCTGGCTGGTCTAAGAATTAAGTTGACATGAAACAGATTAACAGGAGAAAATCAAATTTAATTGCATACATACAGGGCCCCAAAAGAAAAATGAGACCCAAGGACAGGTTGGGCAATTGAGGCTTATCTACCATCTGAGAGAAAGAGAAGGGGGTAGGGGTTTGTGACTTCAAAGGGGAGGAAAGCAATTCACTCGAAGATGGAAAATGTTTGGTAAACAAGTATTTGCTCTGCCATGCAGGGACAGTGGGACACAAAGAGGAATCTGGTCTTCAGGCTCTGCTGAGTGCCCCACCACACCTGGCCCATGTTCTTTGTAGCTATCTCGGGTGCAGAAATAAGCAGCAGGCCCTTTGTCTAAATTCTTTTAGTCAGTTAAGGGGGAGGTAAAAAAGACTTCCTGAGTCTCGGGTTTCTTAAAAATAATCAGCCTAACGTCATCCTCATGCCAAAGAGATACATTTTGGGGGTCGCAAATTTTGCTCCCCTACAAGGGTAAGCTACATAAATGATTAAAGGAAAGAAGAGAATACTTTGATATTCCTTATTCACTTAATTGCTGAATAAAAACTCCTCAGCCTCACTTCACACTTAAATAGTTTTCTGGGAATGGAGCTTAGAAATCTGCTTTAAAAAAAATCTGGTGATGTCCATTTTGAAAACCCTGTGGAGTGGGTAGCAATAGTTAAAGTGTTATTTAGTTTGAAATCTATGTTTTTACATAAATCATGAACATGCTTAAAATAGAGCATTTTCATTTCCATTTATAAATCAGTGTTGTTCAAAAGTCTGAACCCCTTAAACAGTGGACCCACAGAATAAACTCACTTTCGTCCACTGCAGAAAATGGAGACCTAAGGGTTCTGACAGGCTGGACTAACCTACAGGTAGTGAAGCCATTTGGAAAAAGGAAGTCATAATCTCTGTGTCATATCTTTATTACACTGTTCTCCAAAATGATACAATCTGTAAATTAATAAGTGTGAAAACAAGAAATAAAACTACAAAAACTTTAGTATGTATGAAAAAATTTTGATGTTGGGCTAAAAAATCTTTAAATCCTCAAATGCTTAAAGCCAAAGAGGAAAACATAGATACATTTGGTTATATCAGTATATCTTGTATAGCAGGATGATATAAGTAAAATTATTACAAATTACAGCAAAGAAAATACTTGTAATTCATTCAGTTGGGGGAGGATTAATAAGTCAAATAATGAAAATAAGCACTCTATAAGACAATGAGTAAAAATGAGCAAATAATGTAAAACCAGCAGTTACAGAAGAAGCAATTCATGTGTCAAATCTTAGTATCCAGGAAAATTCACCAAAAATGTATGAGTTTGATTATATCTCTGATTTGGATGAACATATAGGAAAATAGATATTGATAATCTGCTGTTAACTAGATCTGTCTTGATAAGTACCTCTGAGTTTTCCCTCACGGGTTGCTGTTCACTTTACACTTTTAGTCCACATCTTGCCTAGAAGTGGAACTGCTGTTGATGGGGAAATAGAATTAAGAACACAACCTCCTCCCAACCCAGAAAACCTCCCCACAAAGTTAGACCAGAATGAAAGCACTTATTATTGAATAAGCATGAAACCAGAACGTGATCGTCACAGGCAATATGCTAAGAGATTGTAAAAACAGGAAGAAGTCTTACCCTTTCATATAGCCCAGCAGATCCGACCCGTTCCATGCGTGTTCTCAAGGTACACAATAACTAGTCCTCAGATAAGAGGGCTATCAGCCCCATTTTTCACACATAGCGAATCTTCAATTCACTTAATAACTGGGGTGACCGTTTGCATTAGCTAACTGAGTTTATCCAAAGGAAAAATAAACCTCTTATGTCTTTATGGCAGGAGGAAGTTTTACAAGTTGGCATGAGGCTTCCACCAAAGTTAGGCTTCCCCCTCCCACAGAAACTGGGAGACAGGACCCTGTCTTCCTTGACGATCACATTTCAAAGAGATTGCTCCTAGGCCCTTGAGCAAGCTGATGAGAGACATTTAGCTTTAAAAATGATTTACATACATTCCAAAGAGACAAGAGAAAGAACTTACAAGTTTTCAAGTGTAAATACTCTCAGAAAAAAGGTAGAGCACAGGCAGGGAGAGTCTCTTCCCTTATTTTCCACAGGGAGAATCAAGCCTCTTAATACTTTTAATTTGCATTTGCCCTTAATTTGCATTTGCCCTTACTATCAACTCTGGGTAAACATTTGCTTATGTGTACAAAGGAGAATATGGAGGAGCTTGTTCACTGCAGCATTGATTGGATAGACATGCAAAAACGTTAATCTGAATGTTTATCTGTAGTGGAAAAATGAAATGGACGATTGAATATCCGTTCTAGGAGATACTGTGCAGCAGTATAGCAACAGTTATATAAAAATATGTATTAAGAATTTAAAGACTTTGTACAGCTAAATACCAAGTTCCTGATTATAATTGCCTCAGGGAAAAGCTAGACCTGTGGATATTGGTCAAGGCTGACTTGAGCTGTTTAGATAATGTTTACAGTTTTACGGTACAGTTCATTTTACATTGGTCAGTATGTTCCCTACACTACCACTGAAATGAAGAGGAACATTTCCATTTAAAACGTAATACTTAAAAAAATAAAAGCTGCTTTGAATGATCTTTAATGTTTACTACATTTAATAACATCACTTATAATTTGGCTCTTCTTGGATCTTGCATATATTAGTTTACTTGCTAAGTCAGTTAACTTTCCTAAGATTAATAGCTGGACTTATTCAGCTCAGAGTTTAAAATGTACATCTCCATTCGCATGGGGTGAATTTTTGCTGCTCACTCTTGCCAGTCTTCAAGAATAAACAATTGTGCAATTTAAAGAACAGGATTTATCCACATGTGAAATCATATGAACTACCCATTTCTTTTCCAAAACTGGATTTTGTTTTGAAATTTGAGTATAGAAAACCACTATTCTTTTTATTTCTGATTCTCCAAGTTTTGTGTGTATGGTGGGATGAGGAGGTAGGAATGTAGATGATATAGGTTAGAGTTACATATAAAATACTGCTAGAGGGCTTCCCTGGTGGCGCAGTGGTTGAGAGTCCGCCTGCCGATTCAGGGGACACGGGTTCGTGCCCGGCCCGGGAAGATCCCACATGCCGTGGAGCGGCTAGGCCCGTGAGCCATGGCCGCTGAGCCTGCGCATCCGGAGCCTGTGCTCCGCAACGGGAGAGGCCACAACAGTGAGAGGCCCGTGTACTGCAAAAAAAAAAAAAAAAATACTGCTAGAACTACATACATATTAGTAAATCAATCTATTGCCTCTGAAAAGTCATCTGAATACCATCTGGCATTGTCCTACTAGTCCATTAGCATTTCCCAAATCAAACTAATTATCTTTCAATCTTCTTCCCACTGCCAAACCTGCTCTAGAGGTTGAAGTGTTTATATATTACGAATTTTATGTTCACTCTAAGTTAACATGTGATGCTGTCTTTTAGTAGTATGATTATTTTGTTGATCTTTGTGAACCATGCTAAATTTATACCTGCCATTTCCCTCCCTTTAAGAAAACTTTGCTTTTGAGTATTTAGTATAGCTTTAGTCATACTGTTAAATTGTGATTTGAGAGCCTACAGAACTTTAAAGAAATACAGTAATTGCTTTAAGTGAAGTCATAATAACATGGGTTGAACCTGGCTTCAATTTCAATTCAATGAAATGCTTTGCTGTCTGTGGTTTAGAGATGAAATTCTGAGGATTTCTTTTATTCATTACAAACTGAGATACTCTCCAAATTTTTTTCTCTTATGGAAATTTAGTACTGTAAAGTACTGTAGTACTTTCGAGCCAGTTTGCCTCAGAATGATTATAATAGCTGGGAGTAGAATCTAATTTTTGTAGTATAACACCTTTAAAAATTGAATATATACTCTAGGTATTTTTTGTTGTACTACTTGAGCATATTTCTATTCAATTCTGTTTAACAAGGTGATTAATGATAAATTCATTGCCTGTTGCAATTGATGTGTAATATGTATAATAGTTGTCTCTTCAAAGAAAGGAATTATGATTAAAATAGGAACTGATGACAGGATAGATAAATGAGCCCTTCCTTAAATACATATAAAGCTAAGCATATTATATTCTAAAATAATGGTCACTGTTAACCAAAAATCAACTTATATTCAAAAATTTAAAGACCCATCTCAGTATAAAATGAAGACTGATTGGTAAATCAATGTTAAGTTTAAAATATTATGTTCCTATGATTTTACTTTATATATTATAATATTTCAATGTTTTGTCACCATACACTTTAATTTACCTATAAAGGGAACATGAAATGAACACTTCACTCTGTAGCAGACTTTCACATGACTCAATGAAGGAACCCAAAGAAGAATTTACTTCCTGTAAATTTTAAGATAGTTCTAGGATGAACCAACCTAAGCTGAATCAAGAGTATATGAAACCCACTCCTGTACCCAGCTCTTTAACTCATTGTTATTTAAGACTATCCTGAATTGTGGGTGCCAGACAGAATCTGATGTGATAACTAAGACTTTACTCAAATCAATGGTCATGCGCAGGCATGTGCTACCATTGGAATGTCAGCACCAAAATCCTTACTTACAGTTCAAAGGAGCCAACTAAAAGTTTTCTGCTCTCTTTAATTCCCCATGTAATATATTAAATCAACAGGTAAAGAAGGGGAGCGATATTTATTTTCTTCTTAAGGATCTGGACAAGCTTCCAAATGGCTACTTCAAGTAGTGATATTTTTGGAACTGCATATTATGCAAGAGTCTGTCTTTTAACCTTTACTAAATGACATATTTGTAAGTACATTTTTGAAGCCTTCTTGTTCCTTTAAAACCAAGGTTAATGGTGAACTTGAAAGAGAAAATGAAATAGGTCTGTCACATGGAATTACCTACGAGCTTCTGCACCCACTCAGTCTGCTTATATAGAGAAGAAATTTAGCCAAATCCTGCTAGGTCCTTAAATGTAATTTTTCTTTCTGTTCCCAGGCCCCATGTTTTAAATAAAATATCCAATATGCCATAGTTTGTTAACTCTGTTCTAACATTAGTTTTATAAGTCACTTTAAAAAGTTGTAGTTCATTATTTCTAAAGCAGCATTAGTTTACAGGAAATTAATGTTAACTCTTTAAAGAATAAGTCTGAAATAAAAATGAGGCATTATACATTGAATTCAAAATCATTGTCCTATTTAATAACCATGATCGCTTGCTTCTGAAAAAGCATTTTGATGTATACCAAGATAATTTGGCATTTTTAAGAAAAATCACATTGTTAACTATGTCAGAACTTTATAACCAGATCAGAATTTATACAAAGATATCAGAAAAAAAAAAAAGATAGGAAGGAAACAGCAGTGAAAATTTTACCAAGGAACAGCTATATAACCAACCATATTTCCAAGATTTATTTTTTAAACCAGAGATGCATCAGAATTAGGAACTTAGGGCAGATGCACCCTGTTATTAATTGAATTAGGTCCCCCACAAAAGAAATGTTGAAGTCCTAACCCCCAGCACCTCAGAATGTGACCTTATTTGGAAATAGTATGGTTACAGATGTAATTAGTTCAGATGAGGTGCTGGCATAGGGTGGCCTCCCAATACAATATAACTGGTATCCTCATAAGAAGATGGCCACATAAAGACATAGACAGGGAGAATGCCATGTGAAGACAGAGGATTGGAGTTCCTTGACAGCTACAAGTAAAGGAACACCACAGATTGCCAGCAAACCACCAGAAACTAGAAAGAATCAGGGAAGGATTCTTCTACAGGTTTTGGAGGGAGCATGGCACTGCTGAAACTTTGATTTTGGACTTCCAGCCTCCAGAACTATAGACAATAAATTTCTGTTGTTTAAAGCTACCCAACTTGGGATACTTTGTTACAGTAGCCCTAGGAAATGAATACACACTCCAATACCACGTCTACTTACATTATTGGTCAGAGAAAGCTCAGAATATTTTTTGAACCCAAGAACGTTGCTGTTAGTGGCAGAAGGGCTTCTCAGTTGCAGACTTCTGATCATTGTAGGGTTGTTTAATCTACTACTTAGTATTCATAACAATAAGTTATTCTTTAAGAGCTTCATTTAAGTTTTATTTGTTTGATTCCATTTAGAACAAGCTTCCTTCAAGAAAAAGTTCATTTTGAGAAATCTTCAAATCTTCTTAAGATAAAATTTAAAAAAAAAGATGTTAATTTTGCTCCATGTAGAATTGAGATGACAAAAACTCCAAAATCATGTACAATGACATCTTTGATAGATAATCTTGAAGCCAGATATAATAAAGAATCTAAATAATAATAAGAAAAATAAGTCTTAGAGAAAAACCAAGTGTTCAAAACATGTTTTTTCCATTAATCAAATTTCAAAACAAAAGACTTGGCTAGAATGTTGTAATGAGGCAATTTTCTAGTTTTGAGTGTGTAGAAACTAAGAATTTAAATAACAATGTCATTGAAAAGAGTGCTGTGGTCTTCCAACCATTTTCAATAATTGAAGAGGAGAATTTTTTAGATTTTCACAAATTATGAATTGTAGTAAAAATGCCTTTTAGAAGACATTAGTGTAAAAGCTTTTTTTCCTGAATTACATTCTGGTGTGCAAAAAACAAATTTTTTTTTAATGTTAGTGGTATTAAGTGTTCTCCTGAATCTTATTCTGAAAGTATCTTATTTCATGATATAGCGTCAATGAAATATCATCACCACCATAAGTCAAGTCTTCAAGTCCAGAAATTGTGGGGGAAATAAATGCATATTTTAGTTTTTGTTTGAAAGGAAAAAAAGCAACATCACCATCATCGGTAACCTATACTGGAAGAGCAGACCAAAAAAGAAAAAAGAAAGTTCAGTTTGTTTAGTTGAAGTGAACATCAATTTTGTATGATGGATTACATATAGTAGAGTAGACAGGAACTATCTAGCTGCTGGTGATACTGACAAACTATTTCTCTACGTTATAATGTTAAACTTCTAAAATTTGATTACTAAAACATTTTTAATAATAAAATTGTGACCATTAAATTTTTGATGCAATTTTATATTTAATTCTACATACCAACATTTCCTTCTGTGATGATAAAGACTTGGGTTATTCAATATTCTGCTGAAGTAAGTATACTGTATACCTTGAAATTTTAAAAAAAAATGATATTAGCATGAGAATAGCCAGATAGATCACAGGGTTAGAAAGTCCAAAACTGGGTCTAAAAGCATTTGGAAATGTAGTATATGAAGGGATGTTATTTCATATCAGCAAAGATAATTTGATTATTGATAAAATGTGTTGAGATAACTGAGTGGTCATTTAGGGGAAAATGTTGGCTCCCTAGCTCTAATTTTTTATCCAAATTAATTTCAGATAGATTAATAATTTAAATGAAAAAAATTACTAAGATAAAACATGAGATTTTTTTAAAGTCTTGAAATTTGGGAAGTCTTTTTAAGTATGACTCAAAATCTGATACTTTCAAAAATAAATAAATACATTGCCAAAACTCATCATAAATAAACTCAAAAGATGATCCTGGAAAAGTATTTTATGTTATAGTTAAACTGCTATTATCCTTGATTTTTAAAGAACTCCTCCTACAAGTCAAAAAGACCAGAAAAGGAGCAATGAATAAGCAGAAACAACTAATTGAAGAGGAAATACAAATGACCATTAAACAGATGAAACGATGCTGAAACACACTCGCAAAGATGCAAATCCAAAACTACACTAAGATACCATTTTTCATCTATTAGATGGGCCAAAGAAATATTTACTAAAATTACTAGGGTGTGACAAAACAGCGTCTCATATTGCTGAAGAGAATGAAAGGTGGCAAAATGTATATAAAGGACAAATGGACAATACCTATCAAAATTACAAATGCCATTTTACGTTGAATTTCCCATAGCCATTTATCCTACAGATATTCTTGGAAATTTGTAAGTTTAGTTCATGTTGCAAGGATATTCATTGCAGCAATGTTAATAAAAGCAAAAAACTGGAAATCATGGATTAGAAAAAGAATGCTGTGGTGGTATTACGTTCACAATCAGATAAAAACATTGATATACAAAAGGTATGAATCCTTTATATGGGAACATAACAATTTCATAAGTTATTCAAAAGTACTTTGAAAATTAAGTGCTAAAGCAACTCCAGTCTATTCTGAATGGTAGAAATAAAACCTTTCTTAGGCACTGTACACCCTTGATCTAGCAGTGAGGGATCAGTTATTGTCATGGTGGTTGTTATGTGCCAGCTCTTAACTCTGGCTCTTAAGGCTCTGTGGAAGCCGAAGATAAAAGCTAAGGTAGAGTTTTAAACTTCGTGGTTTAGTATTGAAGGCAAACCTCTTGGCAAAGACTGGGCTATTTTGTGGCTCCAGGACTTTAAGGAAATCTCTGTCCAGTCATTAGCTAACTACTAATCTAATGGAATAGATATTTCCGCGGTCACACGTGACAAAAGATACATACTTTCCAAAATTAGTTCAGAAAAATCATTAAACAACAACGACAATAATCAGCAACATCAACAAACCTAGCTGGGGGACTGGAAGGGAGAGAAATTGATTTCCAGAGTTTCCCCATTATAAGATTCACAGTGCTCAGTTTTCAACGAAAAACTTACAATGCATGCAAAGAAACAAAAAAAGTATCTCGGAGAAAACTCAGACATTGGACTATCTAAACAAAACCTCTAAATTAGCTATTTTAAACATGTTCAAAGAGCTGAAGGAAACCATGAATAAAGAACTAAAGGAAAGGATGAGACTGGTGGCTCATGAAATAGAGAATATAAATAAAGAAGTTACAAAAAGGAACCAAATAGAAATTCTGGAATTGAAAAGTACAATAAGTGATATGAAAAATTCATTAGAAGGTCTCAACAGCAGGTCAGATTTGAGCAAGCAGAAGAAAGAATCAGTGAACTTCACAATTGAAATTACCAAGTCCCAGAAAAAGAAAGAAAAAAGAATGAAGAAAAGTGAACAGAACCTCAGAGACCTGTGGAACATCATAAAATGTACTGACAATCATAAGAGAGGTCCCAGAAGGAGACTAGACAGAAAAGGGCAAAAAAGAATATTTGAAGAAATAATGGTCCAAAATTCCCAAATTTGTTGACAAACATTTATCTGTAGAGCTCAATGAACTCTAAGTAGAATAAACTCAAACTCCCTACCTAGACACATCATAATCAAACTGTCCAAAGCCAAAAACAAAGAGAATCTTGAAAGCAGCAAGAGAGAAATGATACATCATGTGTAAGAGATGCTCAATAAGATAAACAGTGGTTTCTTATTAGCAACTATGGAGACCAGAAGGCAATGGGATGACATGTTCAAACTTTCAACTAAGAAATCTATATCTGACCAAACTATCCTTTGAAAATGAAGGTGACATTTACACATTCCCAGATCAACAAAAACTATGAGAGTTTGTCACTAGCAGACCTCTCCTAGAACAACTGCTAAAGTTATGTTTGTTGGAGTCATTCAGGCTGAAATAAAAAGACATTACACAGTAATTCAAATCCACATGAAGAAATAAAGAACACCGATAGAGATAACTAACTACCTAGGTAAATATAAAATGTGTTTTGTTTGTAATTCATTTTTTCTACCTGACTTAAAAGACAATTGCATAAATCAATAATTATAAATCTGTGATAACAGGCACACAATGGATAAAGATGTGATTTCTGATAACAGCATGAAGGTGGAGGATGGAGATACACAGGAACAATGTTTTTATATATTATTGAAATTAAGTTGACATTGTTCTAAACTAAAGGAGAAATACAAAATCTTACTACAAGAGACTGATTTAGTAATCAAACAAATGCCAAAAAAGAAAAGTGTAGGACAAGAGGGCTTTACTGATAAATTCTACCAAGTACATAAAGAAGAATTAATGCCTACCTTTCACTAACTCTTTCAAAAAACAGAAAGAGGGGACTTCCCTGGCGGTCCAGTGTTTAGACCTGTCGGTCCAGGGTTAAGACTCTGCGCTCCCAATGCAGGGGGCTCGGGTTCAATTCCTGGTCAGGGAACTAAGATCCTTCATGATGCACAGTACAGCCAAAAAAAAAAAAAAAAAAAAGGCATACACGTCTCAGCCAATAAATAAATAAATAAAACATCATGATATTAAAAAAAAAAAGAGAAAGACGGAACACTTCCTAACTCATTCTATGAGGCCAGTATTACCCCAATGCCAAAGGCAGGAAAAAGCATCACAGGAAATGAAAACTACAGACCAATATCCCTTGTGCGTATAGATGCAAAAATCTTCAAAAAATTCTAGCAAACTAATTCCAGCAGCATTAAAAATAATTATATACCATTACAAGTGGAATTTTTCTCAGGAATGCAAGATTGGTCCAACCTGCAAAAATAATCAAAGTAACATCATATTAATAGAATAAAGGAAAGAAAACACATGACCATTTCAATATATGCAGAAAAAGCATATGACAAAATCCAATACTATTTCTTGATGAAAACACACAACAAACTAGGAATAGAAGGGAACTTTCTCAACATGATGAAAGCCAACTATTGAAAACCCACAGCAAACATCATGATTAATGATGAAAAACTAAAAGCTTTCAGGAACAAGATAAGTATGTCTGCTTTTGCCACTTCATTCAACATTGTACTGGAGGTTCTAGCCAGGGAAATTAGTCAAAAAAAAAAAAAAAGAATTAAAAGACATCTAGATTGGAAAGTAAGAGATAAAATTATCTCTATTTGGAGAAAACATGATATTATATACAGAAAACCCTAAAGAATTCACTAAAACAATAGTAGCTTTAGTTTTAAATAAACTAGCTCTGCAAAGTGTCAGTGTTCAAGATCAGTGTCCAATATACAAAAATTAGTTATATTTCTATACCACAGCAATGAGCAATCTGAAAATGAAATTAACAAAGCAGTTCCCTTCACAATACATCAAAAAGAATAAAATACTTAGGAATAAATTTAATCAAGGAAATATAAGATTTGTACACTAAAAACCACAAAATATTATTTTAAAAAATGAAAGATCTAAATAAATAGACATCCTGTGTTCATGGACTGAAAGACTTAATATTGTTAAAATGACAGTAACCCCCCAAAATTATCTACGGATTAAATGCAAGCCCTGTGAAATGTCCAATTGCCTTTTTTGCAGAAAAGGATAAGCTGATCCTAAAATTCATATGGAAGTGCAAGAGACATCTGATCCTAAAATTCATATGGAAATGCAAAAGACATCAAATAGCCAAAACAATCTTGAAGGAGAAAAAAGTGGGAGGGCTTACACCTTCTGATTTCAAAACTCACTCCACAGCTACAGCAATCAAGACAGTCATAGGGTCAGTACAGAGTCACAGAGTAGGTGCTGTGTCATATAATAAGTTCCCCTACACTACACACATAACAGTTTGGTGGACTTTTTAAAATTGAATTTCCCAATAAGAGGTAAATGTTAATGAAAGGGAAGACACTAAATCTTTAATTTAGATTTATCATTTATAACTTTGTTTATTGAGTTTGCTCATACATGAGCATACCTGCTCTGACACTTGAACTGCTCATTTTTGTGAAAAAGAAAAGGAAATTATGTTTGTGCAATTTGCAGAGCTCAGTATTAAGCTGCAAGTATGACATTGTAGCTTCTCTCTGTTGCTATGGGCAAGTTACTTGAATGACTTCAACAGATTCTTAAACTGAACAGAAATTGCTTCCCACTCAGTTATAATTTTACCATGCAGAGGCTAGAAATTGGGAATAAATAATGAAGGAGGTCATCCAGGTTCACATTTAATGCTCTGTGTGGGATGTAGCTGTTGGAGAGGGGAAACATAGTGGTAGAGAGATCTTTCTTTACGATCTGAAAGAAATTCTGACAGCTCTGACTTTACTTTCATGAAAGTAAATGGGAAAGGAAAACCTGTATGAAGGAACAAATATGGTTGCTAAAATTGTGCTTTTAAGGTTGTACCTTACAGCAAGAAGTAAACAATCTCCAATTTTAAAAAAAGCATAGAATGTGGACTATAGGTTGATTAGGAATGTGGCATTATTTGCCATATAACATTATTGAGATAAAGATTGAAGAAATGGAAGGCATGAGAAATGTTCTTCCTCAAAACACCGTTTATGTAATCCATAGCTTGATTTATTGACAAGAGGTTTGGTGGATTAAAGATGGCCACCATTTCTTTGTAATGCTTTCCTTTGAGAAGTAGAGTTTATTTTCCCTCATCCTGAATCTAGTCTCATCCTGTGACTGCTTAAGTAATAGATAATGGCAGAAGTGACACTGTGCCAGTTCTAGGCTTAGCCTTTCAGAGCACTGACTGGCAGCTTTTGCTTCTGTCCTCTGGGAACACTCACTCTTCAAACTCTGCCTTCTAGAGCCCAGCTGCCATTGGTGAAAAGCCCAAGCCACCTGAGGGTCCACGTGAGGTGCTGCGGTCAACATGCCCAGCTGAGCTCCCAGCCTTCAGCCAGCATCAACCAACAGCCATGTGAGTGCGTCATCTTAGATGTTCCAGCCCAATAGAGCCACCCAGTAGCTGTGGCCCCAATGGTGACAGCTCTGGCCTAGAACTACCCGGGCGATCCCAATTAACATGCAGAACGGTGAGGAGTAATCAAATGGTTGTTTTAAGCTGTGAAATTTTGGCTGGTTTGTTATGTAGCCAAACATCAAAACAATCATCTTGCATAATGATGTGTGTTAAAAGTTAGGTGTCACAGATGGCAGAATGAACAGAAAATTAGTAAATTTGACCTGTATCAATGATTATGTCTACAATCTCTCCTCAGAACTTCTCCAGGGGAGTTTTAGCAACCCAAAAGACTGCTTTCAGACCTGATCCCTTTTCTAGAACTAAATTTACATCCCACTGGGTTCTAGGCAAAAAGTGTGTGAAAAATCTGTAAGTACCTATAATTTATTGAAAGTGCTATCTTTTCTTTAAACTTCAAGCATGGAGACAAAGCTTTTACTTAGAATGTCCTTAGTAAGAGTGTTCATTTGTTTGTTTTGAATAAGATGAAAACATAAGAATGTTCAAAAGTTTTTACATTGAACTTTTATGATGTCACTGATATATTTTTAAAATTAGATTAAAACAAAACAAAACAAAAGAAAACCACCCCAAAAGACAATAAACCCAGCAGCCCTAAAAGAAAAATTTAGGTTCGGTACACTATGAACAGAAATTCCTATATGTTGAATTAATTTTTGAATTTGGTTTCTGAGTCTTTTGTAAGTAATAGGTCAGAATGAATTAGTGGAATAAAATCGCATTGGCGATTTCCTTTTAGATTAATGGATTTTACCTCAGATCCCAGTGTTGAGTTAAATGTAAACATGTGTTTCTGTGGATTGACAGCACACATTTTTCAATACATACAGTCCACTGAGAAACACAGTGCTCTCAGAGTTCAACCTGTCCTCTGGGAATGGTTTTGAGGAAACACCTAATTTTGAGCAAGTTACCAACGCACTCTCCCCTCAATATCTGAATCAGTAAAAAAAAAAAAAAAAAGAATGATAACCATCCCTGCCCAATTTATCTGGAAGGACTGTTCTTCAAAATCAAGTGATCATATATGATGAACATACTTAAGGAGAAGGCTTTTTTTTAAACTAAAATCATTTTGTTGTTGTTCTTGATCATTTTGCTTCCAGTAATTTCATATTTTTTCTTTCAATTCTGGAAACTATTTTAATACACTTTTCTGAGGTCCAAAGCTGTTCATGTTTTAGATTGTGGTGTTTTTGCCTGCTTTGCTTATATGGGTCTCTGAAGTTAACTGATATTTAACTGGAACATAAACTGTGGCAGAAATATTGGGGAGAGAGAGAAAAACAATCATATTTAGAGAAAATAAAAACTAAGGTGACAAATTCAAGCATTCAGACTTCTAACAAAATCTCCTTTCTTTCTATCTCATTTCAACCCACCGAGGACCTGTACACACCTTTACTCCGCTGTCTCCATTTCCTTGTATGTTTCTCCGGGAACTTTACACATAGGGGATTCCATGGTAAATACTGTTGTATCTTGCTTCATTCACTAAACCTAAAGTTTTTATTATTTATTTATTATTATTATATAATTATTATATAATAATTATATATTTATTTATCTATTTATCTATTTATTTATATATTTGTCGTTCATTCCTTTTTACTCCTGAATGGCATTACCGAATACATCACATTTCGTTTATTCTCCTGGTGATGGACATTTAGCTTATTTCCAATTTTTGCTGTCATGAGTAGAGCTGCTATGAACTTTCTTGTAAAAATCTTTGTGTGACTATGTGTTTTCATTTCTCTTAGGTAAACATCTAAGACTGGAATTTCTGGATATCCCGGTAGGTGTGTGTTTAACTTCATAAGGAACTGCCAAACAGTTTTCCAGAGTCATTTCCCATCATTAGTGACTAAGAGTTGGAGTTGCTTGGCATCGTCTCAACATTTAATATTTGTACTGAGTAGTTTTTGCTTCATAACAAATCTCTACATAACTCATAAAATAACACCAATCTGAGCCAACTCACTGGAACTTGACGGCTTAGGACAGCCTCACTTGTGTGTTTGGTGATTACCTCATCATCAGCTGGGATGACAGGCATGACTTGGCTTTGTGTGTTTCAGAGGCTAGCCAGAACTCATCCACATGGCTTGCTGGTTAAAGTCAGCAGATTAAAGCAAGCTCCATTCCACTTCCACTTTCTGATCCTCTGCTTGGTTCATGTTTGTTAATGTCCTAGTAGCCAAAGACAGTCATGTGGCCAAGAACACATTTAAGGCATGGGGAAATGGATTCTACCTTTAATAGAAAGAACTGAAAAATCACATTGGAAAGGAGTACTACTGCAGGGATAGGAAGTATTTGAGGCCTTTTAGCAATCTACCTTTTAGCAGTCTTTGATCACAAAGAATTTATAGTCTTTTCACATGAAAAAATATAATCCTGTCATTCCAGAACCCCCAAAGTTTCATTTCAATGATGGCATCAGTCTCAGAATCAAGAATATAGTTATCTAAATCAGATCCAAATGCAGATGAGGTTCCAAGAACTATAGTCATCAAGCGTTCGTCTGGGAAACAGAGCTAGCATGAATGTTAGTGGAATAAGGGATTCATTGTAGGAATTAGATCTTACACAAAAGTGAAAATATGGAGTAAATGGAAGGGTTGGGATCAGAAAAAGAGTCATTCATGAGTCTACCTAGAGTACTGGTGCAGGTAGACAAGTTAGAGCTTGCAGGGAAGTCTGAGAAACTAAACATCCACTGCAGTAGGACCAAGAAAAGGAAGTTCATGGCAAGCTCTATGGGAACTTGTTGTCTTCGTGTAGCTACCAATTTTGTGGGTCCAGAGCCAAGCATGGTAGACCTGGGGTTGCTGTTGATCACCCTGGAAGTTGAGTTGGACAACCTTGTAAAATGAGGTCATGCCATAACTCAGTGAATACATCTGCACCAGTCTGGCACTAAATCTGACACCAGCAAACTTTTGAGAGTAGTATCTACTGCTTTATTTATATAAATTATACAAAAGTTTCTCTTTGGGCCAAATCTAAAACAGAAAAGGAAATTCTAGGAAATATAGTCTTCAGCTTAACCAGGTTGACATAGAAAAATACAGTATACTGTTATTAGTTTTATTTTTTTTATTTTAGCATTGTACTAGGTATGTGTATACTCATATCTCATTGGGTTTCAATTTACACAACCCTAATGACTGTGCTTATTGGCCATTAATATTCCTTATTTTGTGGTTGTCTATGTTTTGTGCGAATTTTTATTAAGTTTTTTGTCTTTTTATTATTGAATTTTATCAAATCTTTATATAGTCTAAATACAAATCCTTTGTTGTATAAATACATTGCAATGCTTTTATCCCATCGAGGTTTGCCTTCTAATTTTCTTAGTAACGACTATTTTTGAAAAGAAGTTTTTACTTTTAAGGAAGTTCAGTTTATTAAACTTATTACGTTTAATGATTTCTGTGTTCTCAGAAATCATTGAACACCTGAAGTTTGCAAAGATATTATCCAGTATTTTCTTTAAGGAGACTTTTAGATTGAATTTTTATGTTTAGATCTATATCCCATCTTGAGTTAATTTCTGTATATGGAGTGAGGTATTGGTCAAGCTTCTTTTTTTTTTTCATGTAGACAGCCAGTTCTTCTGGTACTATATATTGAAAACCATATATAATTTCTTTGTCCACATTAAATTTCATTGGTGCCTTTATAAAAATAAAATTACCACACTTCATTGTGTATCTATTTCTGGACTTCCTGTTTTTACTAATCCATTCTTCTATTCCATATCAATAATTATTATGACTTTATAGTAATTCTTAAAATAATACAAATCTTGCAAATTTTTTCTATTTAAATATTTTAAAAAATTATTCTGGGTCGTTGGCAATTCTTTATAAATAGTACCAGACTGTCAATTTATGCCAAAAAATAACCTGCTTGAATTTTGGTTGGAAATGTGTTGAATCTATAGAATTGGGGGGAAATTGACATTTTTACAATATTGAGTCTTCTAATATGTGAACATGATGTACTTCTTTTTTTTTTTGATTCACATTTAAAAAGAATTTTTATTGGAGTATAATTGCTTTACAATGTTGTGTCATATATAACGAAGTGAATCAGCTCTTTGTATACATATATCCCCTCCCTCTTGGACCTCTCTCCCACATCCCCCATCCCACTCATCTGGGTCATCCCAGAGCACCTCATTTATTTAGTCTTCCTTAATTTTAGCAATAAGATTTTCCGGTAGAAGCCTTATACAGCTTTTCTTATATTTATTACCAAGAATTTTTCTTGCTGGCATGGTAAGTGACATTGTTTTTAAATTCTCACCCCCATCCCAGACTATTGTCAATAGGACAGCCAAATTATTATTATTAAAAATAAAATTAGATGTCACTCTTCATATCATAACCAACAAATGCCTTCTTCTATTAAGCATAACAGACACCACAGTCATTTTAATAGCCTAAAAGTTCAGCTTGTCTCACCTCCTACCATTATTCCCCTGTTCCCTCTCCAGCAACCACACTGTTTCTCCACATGCCGCCCTCGTCAGAGGCTTCATTGTTGCTTCCTTTGTCTGCGGCAGCCGACCCCAAATATATGCATGGCTTCTTCCTTCACTGTCTTCAGGCCTCTCCTCACATGTCACCATGTCTTCTGACTCCTGACCACTTTATGTGGAATAAACCTGACTCAGCCCCTCAGCACCACCCCATCCAACTTACCTGGGCAGCCTTACATTTTCATTTGTCCAAGCTGGATGCCCCAGCTTATGCCTGCTGACCTGACTTCCCATCTAGTTTTCAACTCCTTTTATTCTAAAAAGTGTCCCAATTTGAAAAATAAATTGCTTATCACCCTATCCTTATCTTGATTTGCTTTTCTTCATAGCACTTATCAATTATGTGCCATATTGTACATTTGCATGTTTGTTTTCTAGCTCCCCCAAAGGGACTGTAAATTCCATGTGACAGAGTCTTTATTTTTATTGTTGACTGTTTTATCACGAACACGTAGAATATCACCCAACTTAATTTGTTGTGTTAAGTAAATGATTAATAAGTATACTAGCTGAATGACTTTGGGAGCTGTTTGAACTTCCGTTTTTTCCTCTTTCTGTAAAATGAAGTCCTAGATTAAATGAGGCTGTTAAGGCCATTCCAGCTCTAAAATACAATAATTGCTTGTGAAACCTCATTCCTTTTTGATACAAGTTTCATTTAAGTCAACAGTGTAGAGGAAGAACACTAGAGCAATAATTTTCATAAGCTAGAGTAATCCTCCAAAGCAATAAAAGACATCGTCCTAAAGTAGAATTTCATTTAAGCAGCATGGATTGATTTAAAAATATTTACCTGGGTGACAACTTGCAGGAAGACTCAAGCATAAATCCTTATTAATCGTTTTCTGACCTAATTGAGTTTTTCCATACATTCCTGTAATATTTAAAAATATTTTTATGGGATAGGTAAAGTTATTAATGGAATTCATCTTATGATAAAGACCACCCCCCGCAATTTCTATCTCCAGCCCAGACCTGTCACCTGAATTCCAGACTCATTTATCCAAATGCCTGTGAACTCTCTACTTGCATTTCTAATAGGCATCTCCAACTGAACACATTCAAACCTGAACTCCTAATTTTCTCCCTGAACTTTCTGCTCTCAAAGTCTTTCTCACTTCAGTGGATGGCAGTTCTGTCTTTACAATTGCTCAGGCTAAAATCCTTGCTGTCACCCTTGATTCCTCTTTTATCTTACACTCCATCAGAAGATCCTTTTAGCTATTCCTTCAAATGCACCAAGGATCAGACCGGTTCTCACCCTCCTATACTTTTGCCCTAGTGTAGCCAATACTGCATTTCTCTGAATACTGCAGTAGCATTTTAACTAGTTTTCCCTAGCTTCTGCCCTACTCATCCCTAGATACCCACCCATGTGTATTTTCAATAAAGCACCCTGAAAGATCATTTTAAAGCCTAAACCAGATTATGTCACTTCTCTGCCCCCAATCCTCTAATTGCTTCCACCTGACTCAGAATAAATGCCATGTTCCTAATAGGAGCCAGTAGGATCTGCCACCCTGCTGCCTCTCTGACTTCATCTTCTCTACTTTTCTTCTTGTTCTATTGGTTCTAGTCACAGAGGCAGAGAACACACCACATAACCTCCTACCTCAAAAAATTACTTGCTATTGACCTTGCTTAGAATACGCATGCCCTCAGAGGTCTGCATGGCCTGATGTCTTACACACTTTAGGTCTCTCCTCAAATGTCACATTACCAGAGTGGTCATTCCTGTGCCCTCAATATAATATAGCAACTTCCTCCCTAGTTCACACATTTCCTATTTCTTTTACCCTACTTCCTTTTTTCTGCTTAATAGTTAGCCCCACTTGACATACTGGAACAACATGATATATTTTGTGTCTGTTTGTTTTCTCTCCCTGTCTCCTAGAATGTAAGTTCATGAGGTATACAGCATTGTTTCAGTAAAGCTAACTTACTTTAAATGAGTTATCTTTAAATTAATGCACATTAACCACTTCCCTGGTGGTCCGGTGGTTAAGACTCTGCACTTTCACTGCAGGGAAAGTGGGTTTGATCCCTGGTTAGGGAACTAAGATTCCATATGCCATGTAGCATATGGGATCTTATTATGGGATCATACTTAAATTAAAAAAAAAAATTTTTTTAACTTGTTTATGAAGCTGAGAATATGCACAAATGCAAACAGTGTAAAATGCCCAGTCACACTTGTAAGCATCATCCTCCAATTGAGCAACACACGCTTGAAGTCTAGGGGGACG